TGTATTAAGATTAAGAGGAACCAATTCCTAAGAAGGACATCATCTTTTGAAAGGCAGAGGGACACTGAAAAAAGGAGGACACTCAATGAGACAGACACCATGATAACAACAATGGTTTCAAACACAGAACCCACTGCGAAGATAGTGCAGGACCAAGAAGTGACGTGTTCAGAGACTCACTCTAAGTAGGAAACTCAATGTCACTTATCAGGAGCAAGGATAATAAGAGTGAAAGATCATGACCACCAAGCAAACCTTCAAAGGTCAAAGAAGGATTGTGTCTAGAGGAGGTATCTAGAATAAGTTTGACAGTTGGGTCAGGACTGAGCATATGTAGACTAAAAGTGGAAATTATTCAGACAGAAAAGATCCTGAGGTAAAAGAAAAAGTGAGCTGAATTTGAGAATCAAAATTATGGATGTTTAGATGGTGGCGTACACACACAAAGAAAATGTAGACACAGAGTTAAGAAAGAATAGGGTCATGTCATGAGTCATTTTTAAAAGTTAAGAAAGTATCCTAAGGACAAAGGAAAACACTGCATAAATGAGGGTAAAGGAATAATATATTTAGATTTAACTTTCTAGTAAAATAACCCTAGAGAGAAAAACAGATTGAAAAGAGACATATATTAGGAATAGCAATTATAAAACTTTGTATTAATCTAGATTAGAGGTGATAAAGACAGTAATGTTGATATTGAACGAGAGTGGGGATGAAAAAATGGTGATAAGTTCCATTCTCAGAAAGAAGAAAACATGTAAAGTGGTCATTGATTGGCTATTTGCAATAAGTGGGATGTAGAATGTAGATGATGGTAGGATTTAGCCAAAAAGAATGATGTGGATGGAATTGTTTACTGAGATAAAGAAAGCAGAGAGGAAAAAAAGAGAATAGTTACTTTAGTTAATGTGGAGAATTTTGAGGTGTTTTGTTTTTGACCGTGGCCATAGTTACAAAGAAGAATGACCTGCCACGTGTTTCCTCATTTGATTGTAAGCTCCTCATGAGGGTAGAAATCACATTATTTTTGTAATTATTTCAAACATCTCAGATCATATCACGGTACTTGGTACATTGTAGGTAATCAAATATATACATATATATCCATTCTTTTTTAAAATTTTACATTTAAGTAACTCTACCAAATAAGAATATAAGAAATAGAAACTGTGAGGAAAATCTCTTAAAATTTGTAGTTAAAATGTTTTCAATCATATCCCATTTATCTATCTATCCACTCACTGATAAATTTAATAAATGTTTATTTCTGAGTCAACACTAATTTCAATATGCAATATGAAATATATATTATATATTTGTTTCATAATACTAAAACGATTATATTTACTGCCATCGAGTCAATAGTGATTCATACTGGCTCATAGTGACCCATTCTGGGTTACTGAGACGGTAACTGTTTATGGGAGTAGAAAGTCCAGTTTATCTCCTGTGGAATTGCTGGTGGCTTTGAACTGTCAACCATGGGGATCTCAGCCCAACACAAAAGTACTCCATTATAAGATTTCCATAATGTAAAATGTATGATTATAGGACAGGTACAAAGTTATACCTTGTGATAAATGCTTAGAATGTAAATATTATAAATATTTATAACTTAATAGAATAATAGATACTATTTTAAGTTATTTAGAAGGGTTGTAGTTTTTTAAAGAAATATCATACATTTAGGAAATGGGCTTGTTTTAAAGTATCCTACTTTTTCTGACGCTTCCTTTCCTACTTTTTTTCTAAGGAAATCAAGAAAGACCATTGGTTCTATATCCATATGTTTTTATACCAGGTGGAAAATAATACTTCTTACTCTGAGTATGGCCATCGGGAGCTGGAGCCAAACCAAGCTCTACTCCCACTTCCATTGATTCAATTCCAACTAGTAGTGACCATACAGGACAAAGTATAACTGCCCCTGTAAATTTCTGAGACTATGCCTCATCTTTTTCTCAAGGATTTGCTGGTGGTTTTGAACTATTGACCTTGTGGTTCAAACAGTCCAACATGTAACCCGGTAGGCCACCAGAACTCCTCAGAGTTAGAACAGAACTCACCAATTAGCAGACACAGTCTTCCCAGCTCTTAAGTCCCTCTACCACCACAGACTCCAGCAATCCCCTTGGGAGTCTCCACAGCCCCCTCGCTGCAGGTTTCTCTGCTATTCTTTCAAATGCCAAGCATAAGCTTCGTGGCTTCCAGGACTTTCTTATTTCTAATCTTTGGCTCCAAATTCATGGATATCCTCTGCCCCTTTAGTATACTAGCCTCAAAATTTGTAGGTTTCTCGATCCCCCTCCCTTTTTTTCTGAATTAATGGCACCCAATCATTAATTTGCTAGAATGACCCACAGAACTCAAGAAAGTACCACACGTACAATTCTAATGTGCTTACAACAAAAAAGACACAAATGAAGAGGTCTGAGAGAATTTTCAACACAAAACTTCCACATCTCCCAAAAGGATGCATTATGCTAACATACAGTGATGTCTCTTACCAACCAGAACGCCCCTAGGTCTTCCATAGTGAGAGCCTTTTTTGGGGTCCGTATTATATTACATAAGCAAAGTGAGCATGGTGCAGGACCAGGCAGCATTTCATTTTCTGTTGTCATAGGTTTGCGATAGGACTGACTCTGGTGTCAGGTTACAACGGCAATATTACATGAGCATGATTGATTGAACCACTTCCTTGAGATCAATTGATATCAAAAGGTGTGTCTCTGGCTACAATAGTCACCACTTAAAACCACTTCTTTCACATAAACTCACAAGCTGGTGCTAGCGGCCTCATCAGGGACATCTAGAAATTTCTAAGCCTTTAGAGGTTCTCTCTCAAGAACAAGGGACAAAAACTAAATTACTAAACTTGAAACCATGGAGTACTTTGTAGAAGACTTCTCTTTTTAAGGTTACAAATCCCAAATACTAGTCATTAATATTAAGGACTTATTTCATAGAACATTATTATAGTTGCTCAAGATGAGAAATTTGGAAAATGGGTTCATGACTTTAGACAAGTAAACTTTCCTTAGAACTTAGATACATTAGATAGATAGACTGATGATAGATTGATAGATGATAGATAGATAGATAGATAGATAGATGATAGATAGATAGATAGATAGATAGATAGATAGATAGATAGATAGATAGATAGAACTGCCTCAGTGGGGTTTCTGAGACTATAAAACTTTACTGGAGTAGAAAATCTCATTTTTTTATAGCAGATTGTTGGCTGGTGGTTTTGAATTGCTACCCCACTACCCCACCAGGGCTCCTTTTATATGCAAAACAATAAGGTATTTCATCCTTCCTAATTAATAACTGAAAAATAATTCTTTGAAAATATAATATTTTCTCCAAATTAATTCAACCATTTCTTTAACTTTGAAAATATAAAACTTACAGAAAAGTCAAAATGGTAAGATTTAAATGATCATACATTTATATTTGACAGTTGTTTATATTTTGTCCCATATTCTTCTCCTTCTCTACGTCCTCATATTCTACTTCCTCTCTATATCCTCTCACTTCATATATGTAATATGTTCATATATAACACATATATTATGTCTATAGGGTTACTCTGGGTCAAAAACAACTTGGTGGAAGTGAGTTTTTGAGATTTTATATATGGTATGAATTCTCATTATTGGGTGGTAGGTAAGCCTGGACGTCTGACTCTATTATTATAGTTCATTCATATAGTATCATTGTTGTTAAATGCTTTTTGGTTGAAAAAATTATTGCTGTATATTATGTGTAAATAGTTTAGGATTAAATGATGAATTATAGGATTGTAAATAGGAAGCAAATTAAAAATGCCAGGTTACTTACCCAAACACCCAAGAAAATGGTAACTACTGTTTAAGTAAAATATTTTAATACTATATGTTTTCTTCTTTGTGAGAAATTATCTGAGCATAAGCTCCTACTAGTTACAATCTATACACACTACAACTGTATAAACTATGAATAATATCATTTGGAAAACAATGATGAAGATAAAAAATAAAATACAATTCAAGTATGTGTAGAATATTTTACATAGACATTGCAAAAAATGCTTTGTATAAGTTACTTATAGCAAGCCACCTAGGAATGAACTTCTTGTTTCCTTAATTCTTGATTCTTGTAAAAATGATGTGTTGCATTTCCCATTTATGAATAATTTGTATTGTCTTCATTTACATGTATATATTAAATTTATAGCTATTACTATATAACCAATAAATATGATAAAGGTGTATATTTAAATATTTTAAAGGTTCTAGAAATAATATTGATTATGATACTTGGTAAATAATCAGGGAAACTTTAGCTTGTTTCTAATGGGATAATGGAAAAATATATGTAAATGCAAATGGACAAAAGCATTTATTTATCTATCTAGAAATAAGCTAAGGTAATGAAAGACAGGTATTTACTTATATTTGTATGTTTATTTATTGTTAGACCCACTATTATGACTATTTTATATATATTGTGGATATAATGACCCAAATATATCTAATTCATTTCAAATATTTTTAAATAACCATAAACTAAGCCATTAAGTATACTTTTATAATACAATTTATAACATGATATATGAAACACTTACATATACTCAAAAAGTATTTTAAAAATATCTACTTTTATAAAACATTTAGTAGTATAAAGAATGAGTAGAATGTTATAAATCTTGTTCCATAGACTTTTAATGATTTACTGTATGACAAGTTAGAAAATTTTGCTATGCTTAGTTGACTTCTTTTTCAATAATTAAAAATAAAGATGCACAAAATAAAAGACAAGCAACTTTGAAAAAAGTTATTTTGACTTATTGAATATTTGCTATCACTTAATTTGAAATGAGAGCATCAATCAATGATTTAAACCTATATAAATGGGTACATATATATGCATATTTAGCCACCTCAGCACCTTTGATGCTAAGAGGGAATCTTCTGGGGGCTAACTAATTGCCTCTGTATTTTGTCTAGGTGGTGAGGGAAAGCTAAGAGAATGAAGGCGCTAAATCCCCAGTGGAAGCATGATATGGCGGAGCAGAGCTGGTGCTGAATTGTTCTCTCTGATGGCTCTATGGGAGTGGATAGCACTGAGTCTTCATTGCTGGGTTTTAGCAGTTGCTGCTGTTTCGGATCAGCATGCCACAAGTCCCTTCGACTGGCTCCTCTCTGATAAGGGACCCTTCCATCGCTCACAGGAATACACAGATTTTGTGGACAGAAGCCGGCAGGGATTTAGCACAAGATACAAGATATACAGGTATGAAGCAAAGGGAAAGCAATTACGGAGATATCGTCCTTGAAGGTTGTGTACAAATGAGAAGTTCCTTAAGGAAAAGTTTCAGATGGGAAAGTATTGTTGTCAGAATGGTTATTATTTATCATGTACCACAGTAATATTCACTTGTTAAAACATTTCTTGTTGATTTAGCATAATATACAAAAAGCATATAATGGTTATCATTTTTGTCTAACTCCCCCCAAGTCTTAATTATTTCACTTCCTTAAAATCAATGCCAATTGCTCTTGAAGAAGTCTTGTTTTTCATTGTAACCAAAAAGCTTCAATGACACGAGCTTCTCATTATAAATAGCACAATTTTATATGAATTCGCCTTACTTGCTTTTTTCTTTTAACTCATACAATGATACATTATTGTTAAATGGAACTGATTTCCTTTACTAGCCACTGAGAAGTTGAATCACTACATACTTGTTAGAATCTGAACGGTAAATGCATGGAAAACCTTGGGAAATAGCAGTGGACTATCAAGAGAAAGCAGATGTATAGGACCTAGTAGCAGAATCAAGGAGGAGATGATTAAGATGTATGACCTTTGACTTTTGTTTCTCTTCTATACTTGAAACTGAATAAGTTATACCAAAAAACTGTGTAATAAATTCAATAGACTGTCTACTTCCCCAAAGCCCAAAGAATCCATCTCATCGAGGATTCTACAATGGTTACCTGAACGCATTGGGTTGAATTGATCAGTGCATAAAGATTGCTTTAACTAGTTGTCAGCTCAGCTTCTTCCTTCGTGAGAGAGTCATTGAGGCTTACAATTCCTAGTGATTGGCTTAAGATTAATGTAGAGAAAAACTTTGTTTTATATTTTTCATGTGTCCGTTTTTAGTATATAAGATAATGTAAACATTTTATTTTATGTTGTATGTGCACCAGAGGGCGCTGTGCTTCAGGTCTCTATGTTGTCTTTTAGACAGTATCCTGTGAAATTTACAAATCTGATCAGTATTGCATATTTACAAATGAAATTGAACAAGTTCCATGGCACATCAGACAATCATTGTTGCATTTTTAATAAGACACCTCGTAGTTCACACAGCGAGGAGAGTTACAAACCTAAGAGGAGATTAACTTGAGTTTTTAAAAAAGAAATAGCAAATGTCTTGTCTCTGAAACGCTGTAAAAAAGTCATAGTCTTTTGGTTCTGGGTTCGTTCATTTTTCTCTGTGTTGGTTGGTTTATACAGCAGTTAGTCACAAATGACGTGCAGCTACTTTAGGGTTGTGAAAATGTCTCATAGTCTGACATTCTGCCAGAGGTTTTTAACAGTCTGTCAAACAAATTGATGTCAGAACATCTCTCCATGATCTATTGGCATCTCTATCAGGAGGTTTGAGTTGTTGTCTTATGTGTGATTATTGGGGTTTGACTTATCGGTCAATCTGATGTAAGTTGTAAACAGGACTTGACATGTTATTAGAGGGCCAGACTGAATGAAAGAGGCATTATTTTGATTGCAGTACTGAAAGGTAATGAAAGAAAAAAAATGCTTTGAGCTTTTTTTGTGTGTCTTATATATCCTGTTCAATCTCCTAAGGTCTATAGACTTTCATGTGCCCTGTGCTCCGTGTCCTTTCTACGTCTTAACCTTGGTCTCAATAAGCTAGTATGATAGTAAGTGTGTGAAGCATGGACTAGGTTTATGGTGCTTGTTTTCTTGGACAGAATATAACTTCTCATGAAACCTTTTAACAATAATAATAATAACAACCTAATAATGATATGATAATTTCCATTTCTTATAATATGAACAAATGGTATAATCTATGTTTCCAGATTCTTAGTAAAGTAAGTTATATTATCTGTCTAGATAAGGTTTCCATAAGTTTCAAGGAATTTGTTATAACAATTTCTACCATACCTATTTATCCTCTCTGTGAGCTCCATTTGCCTATCATTTTCTACCTCTCATTCTGTGCAATATACTCACTCCTATTTTCTGCACAAATTAATCATCATTTTGAAATAATGGAAAATCTAAATTCCAGGAATTATAATAGCTGGTTGACTTTTAAAATTTGGTTTGTTTATCATTTAAATACTAATTTAAAAGTGAAATTTATTTGCCTTAACATTCACTATTTTTATTAATTAAGACACTTAGAGGAAAATTAATATCTTCCTAATGTAAGCACTTGCTCTATATTTGAAATTAATATTTGATATGCAAAATGACAAGTCAAATGACACCACTGTTTAACCATAACTACCTATGAGCTATTTCATGTACTGCATTGACATAGTTTTCTGAATGCATTAGTTAAGAATGTAAAACCTATTAACCCTACTAAAATAATTAGGTCAATATCTTTCAGGTGTTATTCTTTATTTTCTTTGCCAACAGCATATTTTTCATTTCACTATAAATAAAGAATAGCAAGATTTTGACAAATGAACATCGCTAGAGACATAGACAGGGTTTTTAAAAACATGATCTTTTCAAAAGGTCCATTGTAGTGAAATAATAAGGCATATATTTGAGTTTCAAAAATGTGTATATAAAATATTTCAGATTTTGCTTCTGAATATACATTAAGATGAGAAGTCAATTATTTTCTGGATTAATCACTTAATTACATAATTTAGAATGAGTATACTAGCATTAACTATTCCTAGTAATATACTAAAAGTTGGAGCTTAAGCCACATTTTTCTTTTATCTACCCAAAGAACATAGAAATCAAGAATTTTAAAGTGTTTTCTATTTTTAAAAAATGTGCTATCCCTTGAGAAATTCCGTCTGCTGTGAAGCATAAGATAGGAGTGCACCTTGGCTTTAATAAATGTGAGTCCTGCGCTTGCAATTATTATACTCTAAATGCGCCCTCCAGCTGTATGACCACTGGGAAATAGATGGTTTCCTCTCCTATGGATATATGTTTCCTTTTAATAAGTTAGAGCAACTCTGGAAAAGGCACTCACTCTTAGTAACTCAAACATAGACGCTGTTGTCTTTTATAACAGGGCGGCCTGACAGCTGGGTAGAGAGTCTAACCGGTGCCCATGAACCACGCACCATCCTCTGTGTGTGTGTGTATACCTTGCAGGCCACTCTGGCAGAGGGTCTTCATATCAGCTGGAGGGGAGGATGACTGCTTATTGACTGCCATGCAAAGGTATTATGAGGTGACCCAGACTGGCAGGCATTCCTATCAGGGTGATGAGGGATACTGATGGGAAAGTCAAGTCAGGGGTGGGGAACGGAAGCGTACATATCTGGGAGATGACAATTGCATGTCTGTTGGTAGAAAAAGGGGTTGGACTCATTTCCTAGTCTGTTTGTTTGTTTTGGTGGGGGGTGGTTGATTAACAATACCTTTAAGAACCCTAAGAGGGGAGAATGCCTGCTAATATGCTCTTAATAAGGTACATTGTCCCGAGTTTTTGTACAGCCCCTGGTGACCAAGGCCAGGTACCTGGGACATTGGGACACTGGGACATTGAACCTTGGATCGTCAAGGTGCACAGCATGCTCCAGAGGTCATACCAGAATGACGCTATGTGGAAACACTACTAGGTAAACTCTACCTCGAACATACCTGTAACCTGAGGACTTAAGCCTGAAACTACATGGTCTGTGAAGAAATAGAAGACAGCTATTCCAAGAGTATTGACCTGTGGTTAGGGAGATTAACATTTACTTCCTACTTCAATGTCCTACCTGCTGTATTAAGAAATATATTATTCTGGCAGACTTCTGACTGACATTGTCAGTGAATGTAATTGTAAGTTTTGCCTGCCTACCAACTCCCAATGTTTGTGCAAATAACGCTCTATCCTGTAAGGATTTATTATGTTCACGTGGATATCCAGATATTGTGATATTAGACTACACCTCTTCAATTGTGTTTTAATCATTGACACTATAAACAGAAGGTCCTTATGCTCCAGGGAGATGATCAATTAGAGGGCCTACCATAAATTAAAAAGGATATCTCTAAGGTAAACCAGAGGAATGTAAAAAAAACCAAACCTAGACTCAGGACTTTGGGGTCACACTTAATCTTAGTTCCAAATTAAGAATGATTAGTTCTTATGACATGGCCCTGCTCAATCCTTGCCCTCATGAAGGAAAGACAGAAGATATAACAAAGTGTGATGAAGAAATTAGATGATTCAATGATGCTCAGTTAGAAGATAGAATTGCGCCTGGGATCTTAAAAGACTTGTTTCCAAACAAGCAAACATGTAAATGAGACATCAACTAAGCCCCCATGGAAGACGCACACCCATATCCGTGATCCAAGGATGGTAAATGATATCATCTAAATATTGACAGCCTCCGAGATCTATGGGCAGTTCTCCTGTGCTCTCCAGAGTCACGGTGAGTTGGCACTGACTCGATAACCAGCTTTACACATGTAAATGTACATGTAGATAGCGCTTCAAGAATCATGTGGAAACCATCTATGAAGTGTTCATTTTCCCACAAACTTGTTGGAGCCTCTTTGTGTATACCGTCCTTGGCTTATGATGTGTGAGATGTGTTCTCAACTATCTTTAAGTAAATTTGTAGATATGTAAAAACAGATGCACGCTGTGTTTTATTTGGCCTTTCTTGAATAAACTCTCCCGTGATTTAAAAGCTGTACGTGCATCAAGTGAAGGGGATCGTGCTGAATTTGTTGTGAGTGGGGCTTAGTTCAACCATTTCAAGGTGAGGACAACTGTCCTTAAATTGGATGCTCTTACCTCAGTGAATTAATGTATATGAAACCCAAATATAAAGCTAAATAAAAATTCAAAAAAGCCTTTCAATATCAGAAAGGGGACTCAAATTGCTTTGATATTATTTCTTTTTAAAAGTATGAGGGGCCTCCAAAATGTTTGTGGAAAATTACAGTATATTTTTATTCCATTTTTCCTTGAGCTTGTTGTTTCTCCCTTGTGCATAAATGCCTAACAAAAGCCTCTAAGTAAATGCATCTAAATGTTTCACTTAACACTGATTAGC